GTGTGTGTGTGTGTGTGTGTGTTATGGAGACTCATGAGAAATCACACAGACATACAATCATCCAGTAAACAGCCCCACAACTACTATTACGTTCCCACTTTGAACACATCCAGCAGCGTGTGTCTGTGCTTCAGTTTCCTCCATTTGTCTCCAACTGGGGCAGCAACAGCTGACACCTGACAGAAAAAAAATAGAAAAGAAAAAAGAACACAATTCCATTTCAACATCATATAAATGAATATTGTGATCTATATTTAAATGCTCCTAATGTGCTCGCTTAAAGAATGTAGTACCTTGTGAAGTGGAACGAGAACAACTGTGTGCGGCTGCTCAGTGTGTGTGTGTGTGTGTGTGTGTAATCCTGGCAGATCACACACAGTTACGTACTGTATGTCACCTGACAATTTGAGTCGGGCATCTTCGCTTGACGGTGTTAAGCAAGGAGTTCTGATCCCAATTTGGACCTTCTGTGTGAAACCTCCATGTGTCCTGACGCTCTGCAAGATTAATGTGTTTTGTTGCCTCCACTACCTGAAACCCCCCCACCCCCACCCCCGTACTCACAATGCTTCTTCAGTCATGTCTGATCACAATGCTAGACATGGCCTATTTTCAGATAAAAGATGAAGCAGGTTACACGACCACAAAGGAGCAGAACAACAACACCACTAACTGCAGATATTGCAACATCTTAGCAAAGCATCTTGGGGCATACTAATGATGGGGGGAAAGAAAGCCAAATGAGAACATCTCTCTTCTGTGAGTTTCTCTCTAATTACAGAGCAGGGACATATTAATGACGCCACAATGATCTATATGTGGTTTTACAACTGTAATTTTCGAATGCATAATTTTTCACGGTTGACAAGTAACCGATGAACATCGAACTCAGTCAATTTAATGTAATGTCGGAAGGAAAGAGCTGCATCAATATATGGACAATGAGCGAGAAACTCTCACCACAATCACTGCGACCTCGTCGATACTGTGTTAACCAACCACTGCACTGTATATTCATCATGTAATGGACACAGCGCATGAGTACGGAATGACTTGGATGAACATAAATGCTTCTGTTGCCAAGCTGATCAAGAATAGATGCTTTGGACGCGGGCCATTTGTTTGACATAGATTGAAGCGGAATTCAAAAATACTCAGAGAGAAAACCTCTGGATGACGAACAGAGGAAATGGACAACAGTAATCAACACAGCTGTAAAATGATCACAGCTGACCTTCTGATTACCAGATACTCATCCTGGAGCTGGGACACCACACAACTAGAAAGTCCTCAACCAGCAGTAATCTCACATCTAACTCAATATCAATATTTGGAACCTAATCTATGGTTAGAATATCAATATTTGGAACCTAATCTATGGATTAGGTGCACGTTTAAAGTTGAACGTGTGATTTGATGAATAAAAACATTTTGGAAATATTGCTTCCATCCATCTTCTACCACTTATTCCTTTTCAGGGTCACAGTGGGGCTGGAGCCAATCCCAGCTATCTACGGGTAAAGGCGAGGTACACCGTGGACGGTTCGCCAGTCCATCCCAGGGCCATATAAAGAGAGAAACAACCCTTTACAATCACATTCATACCTATGGTCACTTCAGGGTGTCCGGACAACATATTCACCTAACAAGGATGTTTCTGGGCTGTGGGAGGAGCCGGGGAGTCTGGAGAAAACCGTACCCTTTCCATTGTACAATAAGTCAAGTCATCTGAAAGGTGTCGGCAGTTCTGCACCTGTGCTGAGCTCCATTTAGAATCTCAGTACTAAATCTGTAGGAAGGTGGACTAAAAACAGTAACATCACAGAGCAGTTCAGAGGGAGGGAGAGGTAGATCCTAATGACTCTTCTATTACACATCCTTTAATGATGGAATGTGGAATTTTTAAAAAAAAATACAGATAAAAATTACTATAAAAATGTAATCACCGCTATTCTTAAATTATTGTGAATTAGATACTTTACATTGATATAGTTGGACAGTCTTTCACATAAAAGTCCCTTATTCATCCCACAATGGGGAAATTCACAATGTGAGTCTTTGCAACCCACACAAAGGGTGCTACAGGAGGCGCCATGATGTATGTGGTTGCCACACAGGAGGCGCCCTTAGCTATCTGGTTTCTCGAGGGCTCAAACTCAGGACATTCTGTGTGTAAGGCAGATTTGTAAGGCAGACATGATAACCGCTACACTACGGAACCTCTAAAAGCATAACTCTAATTGTATAAAGTATATACTGTAGTTATTA